ACAGATTGATGTTTATATTTATATTTGCAAAGAGTATAGCTTGTGAGATAAAAATTTAAAAATATCTTATTACAAAGTAAAATTAATTCACACTTTTTCAAGTGAAACTGCATTAATTTCAAAGTGCAAATTAAATGTCTCCAAATTAACTGGATCAGTTTCTGTTGATATTTGATATTAAAGAGGAATTTAAAGTGCAAATGTATCAAAATTGAAGGTTTTTGATTAAATTATTGCATTTAGTTTTTATGTTCAGCTAATGAAAATAAATCTGTTTTAAAATGTAACTTAACAGAGCAAACAAGCAGTTTATGAGCTCAGCTGCTGTTTCTGCTGTGTTTGCAGAGCGACGACAGTAACCAGCGTCACCAGCACAGGATTGTTGACGCAACTCCAGTTTGTCCTCTATGGCTTCCCATAAGGGACAATCATACGCAAACATATTATATATTTGATATTGATCAGGAAAAACCAGTCCTCCAGAGACAAACTGCCTCTTCCCGGTGAATCTGGATCATTTCTGCAGATTCTTTGCGTCTGATGACATGAAGCAGGAAAATGTGGAGCTGCTCTGGTTTTCTGCTGTTTCTGCTGTTTCTGTGGCTGTGGGCTGTTTCCACTGGAGGTCAGTCAAAGTTTTCACTGCTGGAGGAGGATCAATATCAAATAGTTCACCTTTCTGTTCTTTATCATTATTATTATGAAACTGGCATCTGATCTCAGCTGACAATATATTTTTTAGTTAAATGTCTAAATGAGTTTTCTGAGATATAAATTGAACTTAATCTAAATTTGTGACAAAACCAGGAACAACAGATTTGATTTTAATGTTTGTTTACATTACTTTACTGATATTGTGTAGAAATCCGGGCAATAATTACAAATCTACACTTCAGGCATCAACAAAAAGAGCAAAATCAATAATCGATCAAGTCGAATATTGAGAAAACAAACAGACTATTTGTAAAATCTCAGTTGTTGAAATTAATTTTCAAAGACATCTCAAATTATTTACAAAGACAGAAATAAACAACTAGTAGAAAATATTCAAGGATTGTTTAATATTAAGGAGAATTTTAATTGGTTAAGAATTAAATCACATTAAAATATTTAAATTCAGATTTACGAGAAAAGCTTCTGCGTGTCAGTAAAGATGTGGAATAATTTCATATTTAACATAAACTGTTTAACATAGAATTATTGCTGGATATAATATATAATAATATTAGTACATTTTTGTTGGTGTTTTTATTTATGCCAGTTTTGTTTTTTGGTGAAATACAGAAAATTTAAAATACAGATGTAGGAAGAACAGCACTCAAATGAATGTATAAAAATAAACATTTTGATGTTATGATTCATTATGTAAGTATTTTATGTACATATTCAAAACAAACAAACATTTGACTTATTACTGTCAGACCATGTTTGGTTCTTATTACTGTATTTATGTTTCTGAATTAATTGTCAATTTTAGTTAAAATCTGATATTTTTTATTTATTGGCTCTGCTTCTTCTGGACATAAATCTTGTTTGGTACTTGAACCAAAACCTTCAATTAGTTCTGCACCAAAATGAAACATTTTATTCAAAATTACCTGCTTGACAATAAACAAAGCATGCATTTGTTTTTTAAATAAAGTAGCCAGATTTATTTCGTTAGCAGGAAAGGTTTGCGTGTTTCTTAAATTGTAGTTGGGGCCACATAAAATCAGTCCAGGAGCCGGAATTGGCCCCAGAACCACATTTTGGACAACATTAATCTAAACTGGAAGAATTTATGTTGGAATTATTCACTAGAGAAATACAGCCAACATGTTTCACATTTTCATTTTATCTCCTCATTGTATCATGAAGAGACAAAAAGATCATTTTATTAAATATGTTTATTATAATATCAACCTTTTGATCTTAAATGAATTCTAACTCTATTAATTTAACATAAAACAGTTATTTTACAGATCATTAAATTTACTGGATTTTACACTTGAAGTCAGATTTTCTCACAGAAACTTTGAGATTAAACTCCAGTTTCAAGTTCAAAACTGTTTCCATGAGCTAAGCAAGGTTAGCATTCTGGGAAAGCCCCAGTTTGACTTCCTGAAATGAAGACACACCTGTTGTTACGGCACAGTCAGATCAGCTCAAACTCATTTCTGTAGGACATTTTTAAACAACCACAGTTGATTAAAATATGATCCAAGTAACACAGTTTATTTTTATATTAAAATATCTGTTAACTTTGAAGAACATTAAAAATCATCTATAATAATTTGGCTTCCTGACCAAAGGAACAGGAACTTTTTTAACTGCTTTTGTTTGTATTTGAATGTTTTGACGTTTTGTGATTGTTCTGTTTTTATATCATTTATTTGCTTTGCTTTGTTCTGTAAAGTCCTTTGTGTCTCATGTCTCCATGTTGTGCTGCAGACGTCGATGTTTCCTGCGTCTACATGGAGAGCTGCATCCTGCCCTGTCGCTTCCACAGCAGCAGTGAGGTCCACATCCACTGGGTTCAGCTGAAGGCCGGCCGGTTCCGGTCCGCTCATTTCACAGCGATCAGACTCAGCGGATCAGCCGGGTCGGCCGGGTCAGCAGGACCAGCGCTTCAGAGGCAGAGCGTCTCTGTTCTGGGATCAGATCTCCAGAGGAAACGCCTCTCTGCTGCTGAGGGGGGTCAAAGTTCAGGACGAGGGGCGATATGAGTGCTTCACCAACAGCTCTGCTGCTGACAGTCACTCATTCATCAACCTGATGGTGGACGGTAGGAGAAACACAGACTGCTGCAGGAACCACCCACTTCCACAGATCGTCACTTTCCTCTTTCCTCGCAGCTCCAGTCACTGAACTGAAAATGGAGGAGATGGGAAACCGGATGAGCTGCAGCGCGGAGGGGATCTACCCCAGTCCGGAGCACAGCTGGTTCTTTCAGGCTTCGGCCAACACCAGCGTCCAGAGCGCCATCAGAGTGAGCCGGACCGCAGAGCGGCGTTACGACATCAACGGCTCCCTGACGCTGTCAGAGGGCGTTTCCTTCCTGACCGTCAGCTGCAGCTTCAGCACCAGGAGGAGCAGCAGGAAGCTCACCTTCATCTCCCCAGGTGAGGCAGGATGCTCAATCTGGCTGCAGAAACACTTAATATTAACAAGGATTTATGTCTATTTTTAATGCAAAGGTCTGAAATAAGGCAAAAAATAACTCACAAGTATCGTTTCAGCAAATACAGTAGCTTGTTGAAGTGAATAAACCTTTAATATTATTATTTTCAAATACTAGATCCACTTGCAGATCGTTTTACCTGTAACTCTGGAAAATAATAAGTGAAATAATCGGTCAGTGAAACAATTACTTTTTAATCAATATTAAATAAGATTAAACTAACTTAAGATTAAACTAACTTTTAAAATATTATTTTAGGTCAATAATTTCTTAATATTGATGGGAAAAAAGTTATATTTCCACTGGTAGGTTATTATTTATAAGATACTTTTCTCATGTTATAAGTGAAATAATATGGGAGCAAGAAATAAATTTGCAGGAAAACTAGATAGAAAACATTTAAATACTTTGTGTTTTTACAGTGTCACTTTTGAACACCTGGTGAGGTTTTCCTGTGTTTTGTTGTATTGTGTTGTTGTGTTTTGTTGTCTCCTGGTTTTAGTGTCCGTCACCGTACCGGAAGCGGAAGTGACCATCAACTGCTCGGCATGGAACATGACCTGACGCGGCTCGTTTGGAGGTTCAACCGCAGCCGGATCCTCCTGAGCTGGAACCGGACGGACGGCGGCCACCGCGTGGCGGAGGCCTGGAGGAAACACGTCACGGCCGTGGCGGCGTCAGGCAGCGTGACGCTGCGGGGTTTAACCGCGCAGCAGGGGGGCCTGTACAGCTGCGAGATCAGCAACGCGGAGGAGGCGGTGATCAGCGGCACCATGCTGAGCATCCAGACACATCCGGGTACGAACCCAACCTGGCAACCCACGGAATCATTCTAAAAACAGAGAATAAAACAAAGTGAGAATCGCAGTGAACCTAATGAACAGTTCACTCAGTTCTGATGACACTTCAAAAACCTTCTGATTGGACACATTTCATTTATTTATTAAATTCAGTTTAATGAAGAAAATTCAAATTGAAGTGGATAATTAAATTGACTTGAACTGATTTAAATTCAATTAAATTAAATTGCACTGGATTTAATTCAAATATATTGAATTCAGTTCATTGAATTTAACTGAAGTAAATTAAATTGAATTAATTTCAGTAAATCAAATCGAATTGAACTGAGTTGTTTATTTGACAGGATTTATGCTGAAAATCCTCATAATTTGGCCAAAATGTAAAATTTTTCATCTTCAGTAACTGAAATAAATCAGCAGCATCATATAAAATGAATATAATAATACAATATAATTAAAGTGTAAATAATCAGCAGACTGAATAATGTACAAAGGAGGAAAATGATATTCATACCAACATATAGTAAAAATATTCAAGCATCTAAATAAAATGTGAACGTTTCAGATTTATGATGCAGATATTTCTGTTATGGCGTCAATCCAGTTGTCATGGCAATGATGAGGGTATGTAAACTTTTGACCACAAATGGTTCTTCTGTGACAGAGTGTCTTCGGTCAGAGGTTTCCTTCAAATCGCTGTAATACTGACTGCTACAGTCTATGAAGAAGCTTGTATTTGGAGCTAAAGCCTTTATTTTGAAAGGACCTTTGTGATGTCATTGCAGGTTCCTCCTGGGTTCCTGCTGCTGCTGTGGCCTCTGAGGCTTCAGTCACAGGAACAGCCGCCTTCCTGCTGCTGCACTTCCTGAAGTAACAGCTCATCGTCTCCCAACACGATCAGCGTTTATTGCACTTATTTTAATGTTACACAGATATGAATATGTCAGAATCGTGATGCTGAAGTCAGTAGAAGTCTTTTCCTCTCCAGGAAGCAGCAGCAACGTCTCGATGTTCCTCCTGCTGCTGAGGAGGAAAACATTTCATCTCCCAACTGGGAGCAAAAACACTTTAGTACCAAACCCAGATGCTGACGGAGAACAAAGACAAAATACTGATGGAAAATGACCATTTTTCTGTAAATAAACTTTTGGATAAAACAAAGACAGCGTGAGAAATCACATGACCGGTTGGTACAACAGGCAAAACCCCTTTAAAAGTCAAACAGCTTAGAGTGCATCAGAAGATAAAGTAATTTTATATAAACTGATCATTTTTAAAGGTGAGGCTGTTTAAAATGTGGAGAAAGAGAAAAAACCTGGAGCTCAAACATTTTAACACTTTAAATCAGGAACAGAAAAACTTTTATTGTCACTGTGCACAAAACAAACCCAATTTAAAAACAGCAACATGTCAAACAGTTGAATAAAATAATAATTATTGATCTCAAAAAATGCAGTAGAAACACAAACAACTGGGATGTTTAGGGAAAATAAATCAGGTTTTACACAAATGATCAAACAGCTGGAGAAACTTTAAGGTGTTTGAATCGCAGTGAATCGATTCAAACACGATGTTCTGTGCAGTTTTTTTTTTTGTTTGTTTTATTTTTCCATTGTGTTCTGCATCCTGATTGGCTAAACAGTCTCTCCGCTTCTGTGTGTCAATAACGTTGCATGTATGGAAAACAGCTTGTCGAATTTAAGTTTGCAAATTCTCTTGCGATTTCAAGTTTCTCTAAAACCCATAATGTCGACAAAAAGCCTCCTGCTGTGAGGCCCAAAAGGCAGAGGAAGATTCTAACCATCGCAGAGAAACTTAAAGGAAAGCAGAAGCTCTGCAGCTGCAGCTTCTCAAGACTGAGCCGTTCATTTCATTCTCTAATCGGTGGCGGCATGTCTGTCGGTTTAAAAGAATCTTTTTGCCCAGAAGAAAAAAAGCCACAACAACATAAAACTGTTCTGCACCGCGGCTGCAGAGCGGCTCAGGTAGAAACACACCTGAGTCACTTTGTTCTGCTGCACTTTCTGTTTTTTTCATAATCATTTGTCATTTTCTCCAGTTCTGATCCAAGGACTCTGGTCGCGGTGCTGATGTCCGCAATTTGAAGCCTTCAGTTCGTTTTGATGATTAAATGATTATTTTACAGTGCTGTAGTTATTTGTAAAACTTAAAAAAATAAATAAACAGAATGTTTATCCAATATTTTTATTTGTTAAACAAATGCCAGGGCCTGTAAAAGGTTTTATTCTTTGGTTTCAATGTATTATGGAGTATTTCATTGTATAATAATTGTAAAATAAATAAAGTTGTTGGAACGAAACCCGCGAAAAACGAGGCTTCACTGTACAACAAAACAAACTCAATAATTTGAATAACAGGAGCTGATAATGTTCATTCATCTGTTACAAGTGAAAATAATCTACCAATTTATTTTGATATTCATCAAAATTATTGATGAATATTTGTCATCAATATTAAGTTTTATTAAGTTTTTTGAGTGCATTAAGATATTTGAACTAGATCAAAAATATTTGTCAACATTTTGTGTAAAACTAAAACCTCCATCAGTTCGTTTGGGTTCTGCAGATTCTTTTCGGTTCGGCTCCGGACCCGGCTCTCCGTTCAGGTTCGCTCTGTTGGAAAAGCGGCGCCACGTCCGAAGCGTCTTCCGGTTCCAGACCCAGAATCCGGACCCGATCCCCGCCGTGAAGATCGTCAGGTACTTGATCATGAAGACCGTGAAGTTCGGCGAGGCCGCCGGAGTGTTTCGGGTCGGGCATGGAGTGGCGAAGTGTCGGCAGGTCCGCATCCGCCAGGCGGCGTCCCACTGCGGCCGGAGCGCCTGTTCATACAGCAGGCAGGCGATGGCGGCCGCTTTGGAGGCCGCGTACACCGAGCCGAAGACGCCGATCCGCGCCATCAGCCTCTCCAGCCTCTCCGTCTCGGTGCCGTTATGCTTCATGATGGACCGGACCCGAAGCAGCGACACGAACCCGGCCAGCAGCAAGGAGCCACCGATGAGCAGGGAGACGGAAAGCGGCGCCAGGATGAATCCCCGCAGGCCGTCCAGGCTGGACGCTCCCACCGAGCAGACGCCGCTGAGCAGGTCGCCCTCCACCCGGCCCACCGCCAGCACCAGGACGGTCTTCAGCGCCGGAACCACCCAGGCTGCCAGGTGGAAGTAGTGAGCGCAGGCCTGGATGGCCTCGTGGCTCCACTTCATCCCGGCCGACAGGAACCAGCTGAAGCCCAGAACGACCCACCACACGGAACCGGACACGCTGAAGTAGTAAAGGACGACGAACAGGACAGTGCAGACGTCCTTCTCCGTCCCTTGGACCACCAGCCGGTACCCGTCCTTCCTGAACCGGGCCACACACACCGCCTTGTCCTCCAGCAGGAAGGCGGCGCTGTAGGCCAGCGCCACCATGAAGGAGCAGCCGGACAGGAAGATGACGGGCCGCTCCGGGTACACGAACCTCCTTCTGTCCAGGAAATACGTCAGGATGGTGAACAGCGTGCTGACGCAGCACAAAATGGACCAGAACCCGACCCAGACCCGGCTGAACTGGACTTCCTCCCGGCTGAAGTGCATCAGTCCTCCGGGTCTGTCGGACTCGCAGGGGGCGCCGCAGTCATCCTGACCCAGGAAGCGGTACCTGAGGCGGGACGGAACCTGGAGCTGCGGCGGGCAGGAGAACCGCTGCTCGCTCCACGGAGCCGGAGGCCGGGCGGTCGGGTTCGGCTCGGCCGGACCTTCAGAATTGCTCCTGTTCTGACCCACACAGATCTCTCCGGCTCCGTGGAGCGGGAAGTTCTGGCAGCGCAGCCGGTCCGGCCACTGGAAGCCGAACTTGTTCATGAGCTCCTCGCAGCCGCTCCGGGCCTGTTCGCACAGATACCTGCAGGGCGGGATGGCCCGGTCCAACACCGTGCACACCGGCGCGTACATGGTGCACAGAAAGAACCGCAGCTCCGCCGAACACTGGACCTGGACCAGAGGGTAGAACTGGTGCACCTCCAGGCCCGCGTCCTCCTGGTTGATGTGACCCAGTAGGTTGGGCATGATGGTCCGGTTGTAGGCGAGGTCGGTGCAGAGCGGGATGGAGATGGGCTGGCAGAAACCGGGCTCCAGAACCGAACTCCCGTCTTCATGCTGAGCCGATCCGGGCTGCAGGAGGAGCGTCAGGCAGAAGGTGGACCTCCAGAACCAGCTGCAGGTTCTCATCACAGCGTGCAGCAATGTTCACAGATAAAAAGAGAACGAGAGACTTCAGAGAAACTGGATCAGGAAGCAGCAACTCGTCCTGGTTTCATCCTGAATGACAGCATTTGGATCAAACATCAGATTTCAGATCCTTCCTCTCAGTGGGGGGTCCATCCTCCAATCAGAGGCTCTCTCTTCTCTGATTGGTCCATGCAGATCTGAAGGTGAGGCTGCAGATGCAGAGAAAGTGACTGAAGTCCAGCATTAATGATTAATTAGAAACTGCTGTTGAGAAAAAACAACCTAATAGTTTTATTTCACTACTCCAATAATTTTTGTGTCATTTATTTAAACGGTTTTGACAATAAACATATTTTTATATTAATATTAATGTTCGGGTCTAAACCAGTTGACAAGTTTCTCAAAATATTAACAAAAGACAAATTATCCTATATTTCTATCAAATTAATTTAATATCAATATGAATAAACTGTAGAAGTTGTGATTTGAGGGACAAAAATGACTTGAAAAGAGGAAATAATTAATCAATTGTTTTGCTATCATATAAATAATAATAACCAACAATAATTTAAAAGAAAAATAGCAAAAGAAAAAGTTAAAATAAATCACTTTTCTAGACGTTGAACTGAAATAAAATCTGCTCTGGATTTTATGAATTAAGTCCATAAATAAAAGATAAATTCCTCTTAGCTTCAGTTTTTAAATAGTCTTTAAAATTCCTCTGTTTTTATTTGACTGTAGTAAATATTATCATTTTTCTGTTTCTATTGTTCCTCATATAATAATATTAATATTTGAACACAAAGAATACATTTTTATTTTTAAAGTAAAGAAATGTATGCATGTAAAAAGCTAAAAATAAAAAACGTATTTTTAAAAATAAAATGCATCAGAGAAACATTTTGTAGAAGTGAACATATTTTTGCTCTTCATCTGATTTTTATTTTATCTTTGTTTCTGGTGATGAGGAGGAACCGTCTCACCTCCTCGTCTCAAACTCATTTATATATCAAATTCATCTGTGTTTGGATGCAGACTGGATTCTGTTGGAAGTTGAGGAAGTTCAGATGTAATCTTCTGCAAATAAACAAAAAGAACTGCAGGAAAAAAAGAAAACTGTTGTTTCAAAGAAAATTAGCATCTCAAAGTTCTCAACTCTAACAGTTCAGAAGCTGAAAATCAAAGACTTCAGACGTTTTGGTTTATTAATTACTCTATTCATTGATGCATTTTCTCCCCAGAAACTCAGAAAAACACAAACAGATTTAAATATGCAGCAAACGTGTTTGATCTCTGCGATCAATCAAATGTCGTCAGTAGATCTGATTTTCTGTCAGTCACAGGGATCTAAGAGTTGTGCTGCCAGATGGAGAATTATTCATTTATTATGCATGAAGTGTTCAAAACAAAAGAGCAAAAAACTTCAGAAACTTTCAGCACCAACATGAACATTTGGCTCCTTTGATAAATAAAAACTACAAAGAAATGAGAGAAAAGTGATTAATTACAAAACCAGTTGTTACAAACAGAAGGTTGGATGTTTCTACTCTGGAGATTAGAAATATCACAACAAATAAAAATAAACATAAATGTTACTAAAGCCCAACACAGTCTGAGGAATCAAACTTTTAAAGTTGTAAAAGTTTAACTATTTTCATAAAACTCATAGGATTATCTGAAAATAATGAATTATAGTGACCAAAGTTTAGAAATAAATGCAGAACTAACTGTCCTCTATTGCTCCTCCTGGAGACGAACGAGACATTTTAATAAATGATTTTTTAAAAATGTGTCTATAAACCTGATCACTGAAAACGGTGCAGTACACACGCCAGACCATTTGATGGCGCTGTAAGACTGCCACGAAACGACACTGAAAACAGCAGACAACACAAAATGGCGCCATGTTTGTTATTGGTGTGAGTGAGGCAAACATGCTGGTTATGGAGAGATGTAAAAAGATTAAAAGATAAAAACATGAAACCAGCTTTTTGAAATGTTCCACTCAGTTTCATAAATGATCATTTCTGGACTCCTGAACTCACTTCCTCAACAACAAAAACCTTTACAGATTCTCCTAAAATGGTCTGATTGTTTTTAATTATTCTTTTACTCGTTAGGTCCAAGATTCATGGATTAAAACATAGTAGAATTTCAACAAAAGAAATGTCTCTTTAGCAAAGTGCATAAAATAAATACATCTGGTCCAAGCACTGAGCCCTGTGGTGCTCCGCTAGGAAGCAACGTCTATCATTATCAGACAAACTGGAGTTTAATGTGGTTTAAAGAAAAACATTTTTAATTAAGTGAGAATTAAGCAAAGTTTCATGTAGGAGTTAAAAAGATCTGTCATGAACTGAGTTGGTAAATTTGGACCCGACTGAAGAACTTTTTACTTAGAAAAAAGACAACAAACCTGATGAGACAAGAGGAAAACAAAGAAGTATTTTCACCAAAATGAGAATCAGAAAAACGAGCCACGGACCTGGAAAGGAAACAAATGAGTGGAGGAGTATTAAACTCAGGAGGTGATGCCTGAACCCAGGACATAAACCAGAGCAGCACAGGCAGGAAAACCACTACTGAAAGATAAAGTGAAAAAAAAGAATTAAACTGCAGAATGATTAAAAGTCCAATCAGAGTCGGTTTTTCCCTGCAACATGAAAAAAAAGTTCAAATCTACTGGATTCATCACTGATAACTTCATTTATTCCTTCAGTATTTATGAGGATCTTTTCATTAATCAAGAGGAAACTTCAGACTGTCGTCAGGTATTTAAAGAAATGTGACTGAATTAATAACTTTACTGAAAGACTGGGAATCTGAAAACGTCTGGTCAGCACAACGGCTGCTGTTTTCTGTTTTAGTTGTGTTTTTTACACATTAGGCTTCATTTCTGTTTCAAAGACAAGAAAGGATTGAAAAGTTAAACTCTGCTCTGTCAGTGAGGAAACTTAATTAAATCATCTGCATTTATTCATGAAGCCGTTCAGAGACAAACATGCTCATTAATCTGATGAATGCTAAAAAATGCTAACAGGAAGTCCAGAGGGATCAGAGAGCAGATTTACATCCAGGAACATCCAGCAGCGTTTTGTCTGTTTGTCTGGAGGGATTGTTTTGCCCCTCGGCTTGTCTGATCAGGCTCAGACTCAGACTCATGCATTATCTGCAGAAAACTTTAAAATAAATGTTTGGAGGCTCAGGAGTCTCATGTGTTCATGCAACTTGACTCATTTCCTAATTTTCACTGTTGCAACTGCTAACTGTACGTTTTTATATAGTAGACAACCGTTAAAGTCATTGTTGCCTTCAGTCCAGCAAAATAACATTTTTTAGAGCCATTACTGTTACATAAGCTGCTGAAAAAAAGACAACTTATCATTTTGATCAGCATAGAGCATGAAATGTTGACTTCTTAAAGAAGAATCATTTAATTCCAATTGTGGAGGTTTAAAGCATAAAACCTTTGCAAAAGCAGGAAGGATTCATTTTCTCCAAGGGGATTTTGTGGATATTATGAGAAAAAAAAATTTAAAATAGTTTTTTTAAATAAAAAATTTACATGAAAACATGTTTGCTGTTTTTAGTTCTGTTGTGGAAATTCAACAGAATTATTCTATAACAAAAATGACTAAAACTAACATTTCCTAAATATATGTATTGTTAGAAATATTAGCTGGTTCTTTATTATTTTCACTGATGTTGATAAGATTTATTGGTGACGATATAAACCGAGTTCTGGTCAGTTATTACAATAACACTGTGTTGTTTCTCCATAGCAAACAATTCAACAATTAACCTTTGACCTTTAATAGACGTTTAATTAGCTCATTAAAGTAAAATTTAAGTGAAAAATATTCCAGCTAAATGTATTTTTTAGGGGTGACAGTAAATATGATGCTGCTGATTTCATTAAGGTCCTTATTTTTTAATAATTATTTCCATTGAATATGTGTTTATTCATCATTTATCTAAAATGATTTATTCTGTGGCTTCAGGTTTTAGCAATAAAGGCAACTTCTCATTTTAGTCTGTAAAATGAGAAGTCGTCTCATTTTACAGATTAACTAAGATTAAGTTTAAATGCTTGTTTGAGCAGCAGAGTTCAGTCGGATTTAAAGAAAGAACCAGATCCTCTACGGCGAGTGGAGAATGTGGAGGTTTATTCTAAACAGAGGAATCATGTGCATAAATTTGCACATTTACAGAATGGAGATGATTTCTATTTAGAAAGACGCTTTCACACGACTGAAACCACTGCAGGTACATCTTCATGTGACAAAAACCAAGGAATTTATGATTCACCTTTTCACATCTTTTTTATTTTTAGTTATTTTTGTGTGTGTGTTATTGCCTATGACAGATGTTATTCAGTTTCATTGTTTGCGTTTAAACAAAAGATTAAAATCAGGAACTGACACGGTAACATGCCGCTCTCCATCTTCAACCAGGCAGCATCAGGTGAAAGACATTTCTATCTTTTTTAAATCTTCACAACATTTTTATTTTATGTGTTGCTGATCAAGTTAAATATTGTGTTTACTGAGATCCAGTTTAAATGAAATTCATCCTGTAAAAACATGAAATCCTGCAAAATGCAGCAAAATTTGGTTTGTAACTTAACATCAAACTTCTTGGATGAAACTAAAACAAAATGTAACAAATACATGAGGGAAAAACTTCAACATTTTCTTTAAAGTGTGACTAAAACATTATAAACTGATGAAAACAGCAGATAGAAATAAACTCTGAGCAAAGAAACAGAAAATGCAGTGAAAGTTTTTATCAGCTCCATCAGACGGATCCCACAGATCGGTCAGAAACACACAGAACTTCATGTCAGATTTTATCTGCTGCTGAAAACATGAACCAACAAAATGTCAGAAAACAGAAACTTTATTTATTTTACCAGAAAGTTTTACATTCTAAGATATCAACCAAATTCACATGAAGCTAAAAGCTCCTTTTAATCTGTTGAATGTGGGTTAGGACATTGATGGCTGCACAGCGATGCAGTTGGTAGCTCTGTCGCCTTGCAGCAAGAAGGTTTTGGGTTTGATTCCCGGCCCTGGTCCTTCTGCACAGAGTCTGCATGTTCTCCCTGTGCTTGGTGGGTTCTTCCTCCCACTGTCCAAAAACAAGACTGTCAGGTTAATTGGTCTCTCTAAGTTAAGGTGTGTGTGTGTGTGTGTGTGTGTGTGTGTGTGTGTGTGTGTGTGTGTGTGTGTGTGTGTGTGTGTGTGTGTGTGTGTGTGTGTCTCTGTGCTCAG